CCTCGTCCTCTGTAACGAGGACGGGTACCGGGCGACACTTCTTGTCTACCGTCTTGTACCGCCTTTGGGAACCCTGCTTGAGCCGTCCCCTAAAATAGCCTGACTCACGGATTGTGTTTGCGCTGATGCGGGGTTCCCTCCACTGCCTGGGAGCCGATATACCAATTCCAACCTTCCTGCCTCAGGGCATTCCAGAACTTGTTCCCTCAAGGCCTGAATGGCATCCGGATCTGCCATCTCATGCGCGGCCACCAGGTCCATGGCCTTCCTAACATCTGACAGGTTGAGGGAAAATGCTTCCACCCTCTCTCATGCTTCAGGCTCTGCCCAGAGCCTCCTGCGCTCCCCTTCCGACTCCTCGATTGTGAATGATCCTGGATTGGGCCGGTTCCTTATACTCCTTGGCCCGGTGTTCCTGCAGGTAATTATTTCATAATTCCCGCAGGCAGGATCGCATAAGAGGAGGATCAACATCCCATCATGTTTGTTGAACATCATGGTCTCTGTTCTGCTTAGGAATGACCTCCCCAGGAGGATTCCATGGTCCACGTCTGACATTATGAAGAAGCATGCCCTGGCCTTCACCTTTCCAACCTCGACGAGCACATTCGAGGTTATCCCGCAAAACATGGCCTTACAGCTGGCTCCATGCAGAATACCGCAGTCAGAATGGTCTATATCCAGCCCGAATCTGATCGCGTCCGCCTCCCGAATAATGTTCATCTCTGCCCCGGTGTCCACCATTGCTGCGCACTTGGAACCCTTCACCATCAAATCCACCATATCGCAGGCTACGCACTTCCAGTCCATCTTCGTACCTGACTCTGCCCACTCTGCCTCCTTGGGCAGGATCGTACCCAGATGGACATTGGGCACCAGGCGCCGTGATAACCTCCCCTTCAGTTCATCGTGGAGTCGCGGGGTCATGAGGTCATTATGCCCTTCCAGCAGCCGGTCAATCATCTTCTCTACGTCAAATCCCTCTTCCAACCGGACCACGTATTTCTTCTTTTTGGGCGGTCCGTCATGTATGACCGGTTCGGCCTCTCCCCTGGTTCCCTTTTTCCTTGCCCGCTGCTCCACTCTCTGATCCTCTTCTCTGCGCAACCTCTCGTCCTCTTCCTCTTCATCATCGTCGTCCTCTACTTCCACAACCTCTTTCCTTCTCCCTGGTTCGTGTTCCCTCCTTGGAGGTTCTTGGCTGGTACTGGCCTTGGCTTGATTCCTCGTTCGCGCTGCCTGTGCCAGCCGGGCCTGCGGAGTGAGGGGTCTCCCCCTCATTCCTGATTGTGGGCACGACCCCACCACATTTACTCTGGGTCGCCCAGGCGCTGACTCCGGGCCGGAGTCATAGAGGAATACTGTGGGGATGTTAGACCTCCATCCTTTCACTTCTTCACAGAGGCCTACCAACTTCTGTTGGCACCTCCCCATCTTATCCAGCACGTCCTCCATCTTCTCAAATAAGACGGACGGAGGCTCCGTTCTTTTCTCCTCATCCTCGTCATCTGACTCGATGATTATGGGCTCTTCCGTCTCACTTCCTCCTCGTAGCCCTTGAGTCACTTCCTCATCGCTTCCCACTTCTTCCACCCCAAACGGTGGTTCCTCCTTTTCCTGCCATAGCCTGAACATGGCAGGGGGTGGCGGCCCAGCTGCCGCTCTTCGTTGGGCTTCAGCCCTCACTCCTCCAAGCCTTCTCTCAATGGCCTCCCCAAACTGATCGTAGATATTCCCATCCATAGTAGAGGAAATCAGTCCGCTTCTCTCGTCTTCCCGTCTTATATTACAGAACCTTATAGTGTGGCCCTGCTGGTCACAATGTTGACAGATGGTCGTCCTCCAGTCAAAGCGGGGTCTTCCATACCCCTGACTTCCCTAATCCCCCCAGCCTTGATAGCCCTGGCCTTGGTATCCCTGACCTTGACTCCCTTGGCCTTGGTATCCCTGGCCTTGACTCCCTTGGCCTTGGTACCCCTGGCCTTGGTCATTCCATTGCCTTCCTCTTCCGCCGCCATTTCTGTCTCGCCCTTTTCCTCCACCCCTCCCGCCGCTGCCTTGATTGTCCTGCCCCTGGTTCCCACCTCCTACAACACTGTCCTGTGAACTGGGATCAGGTGACGGTGGCGGGGCCACAGGTTGGGTCTGGGCCGCGGGGTAGATGGGTAGCGGCATACTCGTTTGCGGTCCGGCTACTGGCGGCGTGCTTCTCCATGGCACAATTGCATTGATCACCGTCCAGGGCCACTGTCCATAGGAGGACGCCCCACCTTGCGAGGGGCCCGTACTAGATGATGGAGCCGCCACATTTAAAGGGGCTGCTGCCTGGGCCTGAGGCGCCTGCGCTTTTCCTGATCCCTGTCCGCCCTGCGCCAAATTACGCACTTTGCGCTGGACCTTCGTCAGGTGCTGCGGCACCGGCTCTTCCTCTTCCCAGAGCTCCTCCTGACCAGCCTCCTCTATC